AGGATGACAATTTCATTGAGTGGTATGAGGACTTTGGAGGCTTACGAGAAAAAGGTAATTAGGGTTTGTTTTTTTCACCCAGTTCTAATAAAATGTGTAAAAGAAGGATTTTTTCTGTATATTCACATCATTGATTTCACTTAATTTATAGGCTAATTAACAATATTAGAAAAGGAAAACATATCTACCCTAATTTACTTCAATCTCAAATCTTACTGATTGATACAAATTTCTCATTAGTTGATACAAATCTCCTAAACATGGAATTAAATCAATAAATCAATAAAAGTGTTTCTAAATTTTCAGACTATATCAATAGAAAGTAGTCTCCGTTTTACAGAGTGAATTCTCAAAGGTTGAAAACTCTCCAAAGATAAAATCCTATCCCAACTAAATCTAAATCTAATCTTAAAAAAAAAGTCAAATGAAATCTAATCTCTAATCCAAATTCCTTCTAAAAAAAAAAAAAAAAAAATCCTCTGGATCAAGTTAGAAGTCAAAGACTCAACTCCCTGGCTCACCCAATGCTTTTAGATCATGATTATGAAGCCAAGGGAAGATTTTAGGTTTTAAGTTAGATGTTATCTAGCCTAACGAGTCTTGACTGATATATCCATGAGAAATAAGAAAGAACCTCTACTGTCCTGCCTTTACAACAGTGGATAGCATGTGATAATAGGTTAGATTTCCTTTGCATTTAGTTTTTATGCTAATGGAAAAGCTTCTTCATTTGACTTGATTCAAAATAAGTATTCAATTAATATGATAAACATGATGCTACTCCAGTGCTTGAAAAGCATGCTAACATATTAAGTGATATTGGTTTTGCTTAGATATTTTACTGGAAACTTACTAAGCGGATGTGGATTTGTGTGTGATTGGATGCTGAATCATGGAAAACACATGTAAGTTTTCTGCTTAAACCATGCCTTTTTGTTTGTTGCTACAAGTTACACGTGTGGTTCACATTGTGGGTTACACCCTCTAATTAGTAGAAATCATTCTTTTGTATCAGATTTCAAGTTTTGACTTTTTGAACTCTGATGCATTTTCCTTTTACATCAATAAATTTGGTTTAGTGTCTAGGGTTTAGAATATAGAACTTCATTATCTTAGTTAATTCATGGAAAAAGAAACCCAAGATGAAGGGTGAGATGAAATTATTACTTATTAAGCTTACTTTGCCATATCTTAAGACTAAAATGCATGAAATGTAATTCCTATCTCATGTCATATCAACATGGGATAAAATAAATCATGGTATGGATTTTTTTGCAGTGACCTTTCGTATAACAACTTTAGCTCAGAATTCCAAAGATGCCAACTGAATAATGGGTAAGATTTCTCACAGCTTAAGATTGCTATGATTTTTCTGAAATTCCATGTAACCATTGAACTTTTCATTTCTGTGTATTGATGCAGGAACTTGTTCCATAGCTCTGTGAAGGATAATAGAACGTAAGTTTCCAAACCTTGTAAAGATCAACATCGATACTCTTCTGCTTGCATATCCTTGTTATCTTTGCCTCTGGATTATTTCCTTGTTATCAACCTTAGATCATGATATAATGCTGACAAGTTCACATTTTAATATTGCCGTGTCAGCGGAATTGTATCCTGCTTGGGAATCTCTCATTGCGCCGCAAAGTAAAGTTAAAATATTGTTATTTCCTCTGCATTGGTAATAGAATTGATGCCTCTGGGTCATTGATACCACCTGTTGAGAGAGAATAAAAGCGAAACCTTAAAACATGTGAATGAGTTAGTGAAACATACTGTCTTTTGATACTATATTTATAATACAGTGTAAATAAGGAAAATATGGAAAAAAGAATATCCCTATTCTAAAAAAGTATCCCTATTCTAATATTCTTAGTCTATTTTTCTACACTCTCATTTGACTATAACATAAATATGATTTTGCCAATCCAACAAGAGTGAAATATTGAAATAGTACAAGTGAACTACCCAAGCATTTTTCCAACTACGTGGAATCAGCCACTAGAAAGAGGGGATACCTACCACTCAGCCAAGTTCACCCTCCGAACATAAAATAATACTTTCTACGGCTAAATATATTACCCATTCCAAGTGAGAGTGTATCTAACAAAATCTCAGAGTGTCATTGTATATGAGATCTTGTTCAAATTAAAGTTTCAGAATATATTTAAAAATATTGTCTGTCTATTGCTTTTACGATGCTATTGCTTGATCGTCCGAAATGATAGACTCTTCCCATACGTGATCATTCTGCCGAGTGCTTGAATTTGTCATATCCAGTGAACACCTTCATTTTTTTTATATATATTTTTATTAGTTATTCATTTTTTTCCATTAAAAGAAAGGTTAGACACTTACTCTATGTTTGGCAACTCAGGAGGATTTAATAGGATTTGGTGAGATTTAGATTTCAAAATCTCATTTTTACTGTTTAGACAAAAATTAAATAAATTAGATTGGGATTCCATGGGATTTGATGGGATTTCACTTATTGATATCCATGAAATTCCATCAAAATTGATAGGATTTCAAGGGATTTGGATTTTTAAAAAAATTATTTTAAAAATTTTAAATTATTTTTGCAACTTATCCCCTCTCATTAGTATTTTTTATTAAGCTGAAAACATTAAATATAAAACAAATAACAGAGTTACAAAGTACTCTGTTTTCTACTTCCTCAAGGATATATATGTGTGTGTGTAATCTGTTTTCTTTAATATATTTGGATTTATATTTTTTTACTTTAATTGAATTTTCTCCACTTACATCCATTATCCACTGGTTTACTCTAACTAAGAATTAACATTTCCAATGTTCCCAACTTCTAATTGCTCTTTCCACTAGTGACTGTACATATAAGATATTGGAATTGTTGTGTACCCAGTGAATTTCATATGAAAGTAATTGTTTTAAAGGATATAATAGTAAAAATTTTATTTTTAATTCCAAATTTCATTTTTTTTTCCAAAAATCAAATGGAATTTGTAAGTACAAAATTTTATTTTTTTGCCAAACACTTCAAAAAATTTAGATTTAAAATCCATGAAATTCCAAATTTGGTTTCATTTCTTTTTTTATTGTCAAAAATAGGGTTATGCATAGTTGTTAAGAGCGCTCAACGCGCGCTATAGTGCATAGTGAAACGCCTAGCCCCTCTTCTGTTTTTTTCTCTTTTTTTTTGTGCCCTGTTGTCGGCAATCAGAGCTCCTCTTCCTTCCTTTTTTTTCTTTTCTTTTTCTTTCTTATTTTCTCACCTGTCGACAACATCAGAACCAACATTTCTCTTCCATTTTTTTTCCTCTTTTTTTCCTTTTCTTTTATTTATTTATTTTATTTTATTTTATTTTTTTTCTAGCAGCAACAGTATTACCCTCTATTAAAAATTTTAACCTTGATGGTGAAGATTTTATTGAAAGGAATAGAGTTAAGAAATATTTTTAGACTTATTAGATTTCTTGAATTTTTTGGCAAGGATTATGTGTTTAATTATTTAGACTTTTTTGACAAGGATTATGTGTTTAGATATTTAGACTTATTATTTAAGTATTTGGTTGATATATATTATATATATATTTACATGTTGGCTTATTATTTATACTTGTTATTTAAGTATTAATTTGCTTGAATATTTAGTTGTATTGATATTTTTGGTTTATATTAAAAATATATAAATATATGCGTTTTATGTGCGTTTTATTTCAATAAAGCACGCTATGTGCTTTAGCTCCAGGAGGCCTTTGCGCTTCGCTACTTTACGTGTTCTTGACAACTATGGGGTTACGAATAACCAAACTATGACGTGTTTTTGCAAAGTGGGATGAAGTTTTCTGATGTGTCAAACCAATCTTCTAAATAAAAAAAATATCTTTTAAATTGTGGATTTGACCTTATACACATTCTTTGGACATTGGAGTATTCAAGGTTTGTGTGTGTGTGTGTGTGTGTATTTTCTAATAACAAATTCTTTTTGGAAGAGAGGATATTTGTGTCATTGAACACTTCGAGACAAAGTCTTATTTTGCAATGTATATTGGGCTGTGCTGTAGAAGATATTAATGTATAAACCTATTAGAGATGAATATCAGCAGATGGTCTCTTTTGAATGCTTCCACTAAAAGGCTATTTGGAGGCAATGGAATCAGACAGGCTAGAGCTTTTAATGTTGGCCATTTGATTTGCTTTCCACCATGAAGAAGAAAGGGAAAAAATGGCATAGGACCCTACCAAACGGAGTTTAGACAAAGAAGTTAATATTGGATGCATTATGTTTCTCTTTTGTCTTTGAAACTTTTTGCAGAACAATTCTCAATGGCAAGACTTTTAAGTATAAATTCTGGTAGTCACACATTCTGACAATAATCTGAGCTAGTAGTAATGCACTCTGGTAATAATGACCAATAATGCATTTAATGAAGTTCATACTGTCATGTATCAGTATTTTTCACTCTAAAAGGGTTCAAAAGATTTTGGTCACAATTTGAACTACTGGCCATGGAACACACAAAAAGATTGAAGTACCAACCTATGTATGTGCAGGAGGACCCAGAATTTGATCTTTCTGGAACTTCAAGTTTTCATTCGTAAAAGTGATGTTAGAGTTTTCACCCTTTTTTTTTCAATCTCTTAAAATTCTAAACCAAACAATGCCTTTGTTTTCTATAACAAGTTGTGGATCTCTTAAAAGTCTAAACCTGACAATATCATCTTGAAACTCTTATTGGCCTTTTGCAAGTTGACGTAGAATGTGCATCCTAATGTCTAGGCATCCCAAGGAAGAGAGGTTAGCAATTTTTTAAAATCTTTATAATGTTACCAAAAATATGAACCATTGAATAGGTAAAAATGTTATTTACCAGGCTTTCCAGCATAGAGGGAAGGGAGTTAGCTAGGCAACTTTTCCTTTATCTATATACATATTTTTCATTTTTATTTATTGTTTTTATATTATCTTTGTTGTTTTCTGATTTTAATGAGTTATAATCTTGTTGTACTTTGTATCAGAGTGGCACTCTCTCCATATAAACTGTGGTGTAGAGAAGTTATTCTAAATAAAATCAAATATGAGGAAGATAGTGAGCCAGGTGGACCTTCAAATTTCTATCGCAGTGGAACGAACTGGGCATGTAGCAGCACTGGTTACTTCTTGGATGATGAATCTATGAATTCCTTTATTTTGTCAATCCTGCAAGTCTCCCTATGAATGCATCCATTTGAATATGGAAGCACGAGGCTCTCCGCTATCTCTGACTTACTATGCTTTCTGTCTGGTAAATGGAAATTACACAGTAAAAACTACACTTTGCAGAAATTGTGTTTACTGATGACAAAACATATTACAGTCTCGGAAGGCGCATATTGATGTTTACGTCCAGGTAGCTTTCGTAATACTTCTATCCATGGGCTTTTATAGAAAGGCTGCTTTTGTTCTTTCTTCCTTTATTTTGTTGTTTTGTTCTATTTCATTATTGTCGTAAATGGAGGTAGCACCGAGACAGATAGTGTGCTGGGTCATTAAAAGATAGAGATTTCCATGCTGTTAAGCATCTCTTTATAACTCAATCACCATACAACATTCTTTTTGACATTTTGGAGTTCCCAGCAAAGCAGCATCACAAATACATTAGTAAATTCTTGCAGGGAACTCGGGTGTTGAAGAATTTCAACATTGAAAATGCAGCTGGTGGGGTTCGTAAAGAAATTATAAAGAATTTCACGGCAGTTGTGACTAGTGGTACCTTGGAGATTCGCTTCTATTGGGCTGGAAAAGGGACAACCAGTCTCCCTTACCAAGGAGTATATGGTCCTCTCATTTCAGCTATTTCTGTGAACTCTGGTATGATCCTCTTGAGTCTAAAATATCCAAGTATCAACTCAGACTGCTTTCTCAGTTTTTCCCAGTCCAGTTTTATTTGTAGCCAAGGGAATTAGTTAATGGTGCAAGTCCTGTTTCTTAGTGGGTTCAAATGATAGTGTAAGGTGAAGTCCTCTTTGTTTTTGATGAGTCTGCTATCAGTTTCCACAATGTCCTGTAATTTACCGCTTCTTTAAACCAAAGAAGGGGAATTTAACATACATTTATAAAATTCATCCTTGAATGGGTTTCTTTCTTTTTGCTCCTTTACTTCTTGCGGCCTTAATGTTAAATTCATGGCAGGATCACAGGGTTTAATAATTCCTTTAAAATGCATTGCATATCTCGAAAGTGCATGCACAAAATATTCCTGCCAGAAGTTAGGAGTAAACATACTGTAATTATAGTATACGTGGTTACCAAGTTATAAGTTCCTGGCCTACTGCTTACATTCTGTTCTTAATCACCTGGTAGTAATTTCACTGGTGCTACATGCAGATACCGTACCACCATCAGATGGCAAGTTGTCAATGGGTGTTTTAGCTGGCATTGTGGCTGCAGTAGTTTCTCCCAATCATTCTGCTTCTGGGTATCCTTTGGTGGTTTTGCTTTCTACGACCTAAATACACAATGAAACAAGGTATTTGATAACCCTATATTGTGCAAGATAACAATTCCCTAACCTTTGCTGCCCTTCCTTTTCTCAAGTATAGGTTTCAGTTTTCTGTAGACAATAGACTTCATGCCTGTGAGTGTTATGCCAAGTCATGTGTCTCTCCGTATGTGAATTTGTATACATAGAAAAGTCTATCTGTTTACACTTCTTTGTGCAAGCAATAGGTTATAACTTGTTTCTTTCCTTCTCTCCAGAAACTTTTCTTATCTCATTTGGCTTCTTTTACAGATTTGAAGGGTCTAGACCTGCAGACTGGTTCATTTACCTTGAGGCAAATTAGGACTGCTACTAACAATTTCGATACTGCTAATAAAATTGGAGAAGGTGGTTTTGGTTCTGTTTATAAGGTATTTAGAGATGGAAATTTTATTTTTTTGAAACAAAAAAAGAATTTGTCAGATCAAGATATGTCATTCTCATGCGTAATGTATCTTACATTGTAGGGACTTCTATCAGATGGCACCTTGATCGCTGTAAAGCAGCTCTCTTCCAAATCAAAGCAAGGAAATCGCGAGTTTGTGAATGAAATAGGGATGATTTCTGCCCTGCAACACCCTCATCTTGTAAAGCTGTATGGATGTTGTATTGACGGAAATCAGTTGCTGCTGGTATACGAGTACATGGAAAATAATAGCCTTTCTCGTGCTCTGTTTGGTAATCCTCTTACCTTCATTCAATTGCTTGTTGTATGAGAACATCTGCACACTCATTCAGACTATTAAGCTCTTATATTTTAGCTGACAATATGTCAATCTTGTCATTGAAAGGCCCGGAAGAATGCCAGTTGAATTTGGATTGGTCAACACGGTATAAGATCTGCATTGGAATAGCTAGAGGCTTGTCTTATCTCCATGAAGAATCAAGGCTTAAGATAGTGCACAGAGATATCAAGGCATCTAATGTGTTGCTTGATAAGTATCTTAACCCTAAGATATCAGATTTTGGTCTGGCCAAACTTGATGATGAGGAAAATACCCACATAAGCACCAGAATTTCCGGAACCTAGTAAGTTTTCATTATCAGTCAAAAGGGTTAATGTTTTTTATACCATTATTTTTATAGTTTAGGTGTTACAACCACTTTCTCTTTTCTTTTTTTCACGTTTAATTATTCTTAAATACAGACTATACAGTGAACTTGACCATGTGCAACCTCTTGTGGAAATTTAGCAAGGGGATAATGCTAATATGGTGAAATGATTTTAAATTTGCAGTGGATACATGGCTCCTGAATATGCAATGCATGGTTACTTAACTTATAAAGCAGACGTTTACAGTTTTGGAATTGTGGCATTAGAAATTGTCAGTGGGAGATATAATGCCAGTGACAGGACAAAGGAAAATTCTTTTTATATTCTTGACTGGGTAGGTCCAATATCTTCTTGATTTTTTGTTACATCTGCACATTTTCTTCATCTATCACATGAACAATATGTTTCAAATATTAAATCAAAAATGCTTTTGTTACAAATCTGTGAGTAGCTGTTTGATCATTTTTATTTTGCTTCTCTTGGAAATTATGCAAAAACCTTTTACAAAAATTGGAGGAAAATATTCCATTTCACTTATTTTGTGAATGATCTGGCATGCATGACTTGCGGAAGAATAATTATCAGAACCCCAACCAGACATCCAAATGGTGAGGTCACCAATTCGTGGTTCATTGGCTCAACTGCATTTTGAGATTAATATATTTAATTATTTTTCAGGCAATATTTATTATGTATAATGTAAGAACCAAAATATAACAACAAAATATCCATAGATCAGCAGCTGGAAGACATGGCTTTCACTATTGAGTACAGATTGTGGAACCAAACCGCACCAGCTGCTTCCTGGTTCGATCGGCTGGTCTGGTCTGGTGTTGATAACAATGTGTTGAAGTTGGGTAGCATGAAATTTTATCAGACAAGTTGGTGTGTCTAACAAATCAATTGGAAGGGAAGTAGAATGATTTGAAACAAACAAACAAACATTTGGTCACCTTAATTCCAATCACAACGCAATGACACACAGATGAAGTTACTTGGTTTCTAACATGGCAACATGTTCTTGCCAGGCACACGCCTTAAAAGAGAAGGGGAACCTGATGGAGCTAGTGGATCCGAGGTTGGGATCAGACTTTGACAGAGAAGAAGTGTTGGTGATGATTAATGTAGCCCTCCTCTGCACTGACGTCTCACTAGCCGTCCGGCCTGCTATGTCTTCAGTTGTAAGCATGCTTGAGAGTCGAATGGTCCATGAATTGATTTCAGAACCAACAGTCTCAGGCACTGGGATTACGCTGGAGAGCATTGAAGAAAACACGAATAACAGGCAAATCCAAAGCGTGTCAATTGATGGACCATGGACGGCTTCTTCTGCTTCTGCTTCTGCTGGCAATCTCTACCCTGTCAATTTGGATTCTGCTTATTTGGCAAAAAGATAATAGAGAATGGTGCATATCGAGTCTTTGTTTCAACATGGAGATCCCCAGCATCCATATTTTTGTTTTTCCATCTCCGTCTTCTCTTCTAAAATCCCTCTTATAGTAAATGGATGTTGGGTGCTCTGGACAGGTATATAAACATTTGTGTTGTAAGATGATTGCAGTTTTTTATTTAGAGTTTGCATCGCTATAGGTAGTCCTGAAATTATGGTTTATTTGATTTTATTTATTTGCTTCTTGGGTCAACAAAAAACCATAAAACAACAGAAACAGATTGGCCCAACTGAATAATCCTTGGCCAATACCACTTTGAACTCTTGAAGGTGGGAGTGCCATCGACACCATCCATTTATTTTAAATCCAATAAACTTGGATTTGGTCCATGTCCATTTACAAATGGATCTGGTATTCCCAGTCTTTCTAGTTAAAAAGGCTCCTCTGTTTCTTTCTGCACGTATTAAGTTTAAAAAGAAAATCACCAAATTTTTTGTATTAACAATGCGTAAAAACCTGAACTACCCGAAAAACTAAAAGTTAATTCTATTGGATCGTAATTATCTTAAATAAATTCATTAAGTGGTATTAAAAATTTAATTGATATATATATATATGTGGTAGGTGGCTCGGTTGGTGGTGGATACTTAAAATTTAATCTGTCACCGGAATGAATTGTAAGAGAGTCATATAAGTTAAGATTGTTATGAAGTAAAAATTAATGTAAATGAGTGAGTTGTAAGTGAATTGAGTTGGCGAGTCGGGTCGGACGGTTTTATACTTACCACTAATCAACAGAAATAATGGTCGACTGAAACATATTGTTTCTCCAAATATTCTACAAAAACATTACGAAAAATTCTTGTGGTAGTTCTTTCACACCCAAGGAATAGAGCCAAAAGCTTCTAATATCCAATCTTCCTTTCACATAAAAGGACCCAGGTTGAGAGGAATTGGAATAACCTTGAAACCTTTTGAGTCGGGTTCTTGTCTAGAATATGTAATGAGTCGTACTAGATATAAATTAATTAATTAGTTTCTAATGGTTAATTATATTAAAACAAAATTTTAGCTATTGAAAAAGTATATTCACTTTTAAACTATAAATGTACTCTATTTGATAAATTGAATAAAATATCTTTTTTTACTTTTTATAATTTTATTTTTTTAAATAATAGTAGATAAACTATATTAAAAAAATTTTTCTTGTCGTACTTAACCTCTTTAGTATATATTCTTATATAAAATATAGAAATAATGTTTCATAAAAAAAAAATAATTTCTGTACTAGAATATAATTATAATGTATGATAACTGTATGATTAATAAAAATAAAAAAACTATATAATTAATATTTAATTACATACTAGCATATATTTATAATTAAGGCCCTAGATATTACATATGAAAATAATATTTTATATTGTTGTATATAATTAATAAAAAAAATGTAATTACATGCTAGTATATATTTACATTTAATTAATGTCTCTAACTCAACTTAGATCTCCAATAGCTTGAATAGGTCAAGGTACTATTATGCACATTTATTTTAGAATTACAGTTCTTTTAAATGAAATTATATTTATGAATTTGAAATTTTAAATCTTAAAAATTTAAAAAATTTTACTTTTAAAATCTTAAGAATTATAGGATTTAAAATATTAAATCCAGAAATTAACCAATCACAATTTCATTGAAATTAACAAACATTCAAACTGATTGTTATACAATAAATTATACTAATTTTGTCATGTATTGGCTAATCTTAAACAAATTAACATGTTATCTTAAACATGTATAGAAATTATGTGATAACTTTAAAGTTTTACCATTTCAATCAGTTTCAGCAATTAGTAATAAGTAATTATAAAATAAAATTTACATTAGCATTTAATTATTTTTCTATACTTTTAAAGTTAAGTAATTAAATGTAACGACTTGAAAATTGAATCCATGATCGGCGATAGGATTAAAATAAATCTCAACCCGCATATCTAATAAAAAATACAGAATTTAATTAAACTAATAATCTAATATAAAACAAAATGTAATTCAGACCATATTAACTGATCTATCAACACATAACATAAAACCTGTCTGTAGTCAAATGGAGTATTGTAAAATTCGAGAAAAAGTTTGATAGAAATTGAATAATTAACTTTTAAAATCCAAATAAAAGATAGCAAAATAGCATGGACTTCTCTCAAGTAGTAAGATCTATTGAACCAACAAACTCAAGGGCGAGTCTATATACTCAGTGAATAGCAATATACATTTATAAGAATAAAGGATATGTAACTCACTGAAAACAGATTTTTAACAAATTTTCATAATTTAGGGAGTTCGAAATCCAGAACGTCACATATATTAGAAATCAGAATAGCAACTCACAGTTCAAAATAATAGAACGGCGACACCCAGTCTACCAGATAATAGAACTGCGACACTTAGTCTACTGGATAATAGAACGACAACATCTCAATTTCCTGGTATATAGATATGCAAGTCAGGGTACCTAGGTTGACGTTTATTGTCGTTAGCTATAATGTTCTAAAATGCAAAACTCACTTAAAACACTTTTTTAGAAATAATAAAAAAGTTTAACAGAATCTTTTCATTTGCAGATATAAACTGAATTAAACATAAATAACAAATAGTTTCCCTAAAACAATTTCAGAAATTACACACATGTCCCATGTTATACTTTTTTAACAGAATCTAAATAAAATTTTAGAAAGTAGATATATCATATAAACCAGAGTTTATCATAGATATGAAAAATAGTAAATGTTCATAAATATACATTATTATTCACAGAATTCATCGGAATCAAGTAGTTCAAATCTCCTGTGATATATAGGCTCGACCAAAATCCTATGAAAAATCTAAATAATAAAATATCTTAACAAACATAATTTTCTTGATTAAAATCAATCAAATAATTCATGTCCAAACTCCGTATTGGACTATTAAAGTCCCAAATCAATCAAATAATTCATGAACCAAGTGATAAACCTTGAACTGGACTCATAGATCATGAAATCGATTTATTTTACATATAAACTAATTATTACAGTGCTAAACCAACCTTGAATCAACACTAGGGTATTGAAACGGCCATGAGTTGGCTTCTAATACACTAAACTAGGCTTGAACCGGCCTCTAATGTGGTGAACCGGCCCTGAAGTGGCCTTTAATACACTGAACCGGCCATTAACACTTTGAACTGAGCATTAACACAATGAACCAAGTAATTAACACACTGAACCATACCAAAAATGACTGAACTAGTCACTTTAAGCACAAAATCAATATAAAATCCTCTGAACCGAGGCTAAAACAATAATATTTTCCTTAAAGCGGCATCAAAACTGGTTAGCTTAAGTGTTAACCTAATTACCATGCCTTGAACTAGAAGTGAACTGGTTGTTTCAACTTTGAACTGGCCAGTTTTCATTTTTTTTTTCTATTTTCTTTATTTACTTTACTAGCCCAGATCCAGGATCTGGTTTATTGTCTAAAGCCCAAACCTATCAACCCCGTGTTTTTGGCCCAACTAAACAAAGCTGACCCAACGGACCACAACCCATAACAAGCATACACCCCAACCTAGTTTTGAGTAACCAAGTCACTAGCAGACCCGAAGTCCAACCGTGACCCAAGCTCTTCACAAATCCTTTCTTCTTGACCCAAGAGCAAAGATCAAGCTAATTACCTGGAATTTATTCCCAATTCTTAAGATCTCTTCTCTGCGGTGGTGATTGGAATTGCTAACCAACAGAGGCTCAATGATTTATTAGTCAAAATAAAGCCAAACTAGATGGGTATTGTGTTGCACGGTCAAGATGGTTCTAGTTTGGATTCAGCTAAATTTTAAAAATTCGATTGTTCAATCCCGCAAATTGATTGAGAGCTCTGGTTTTTATACTTCAATTAGCCCCTATTAAGTCCACAATTGAATCGATACTTTTCTAGATTGCTTGAGATCCACTTCCATGATTGTGTGGATCTATACATGGAAACTAATATCCAGTTTCCTTGATATTTTCGATTTAGTCCTTTAAATTTTTGATTTCCTTCAATTTCGCCCTTGCAAGTTCTGAGTTCTTTATTCAGGCCCTATTAAATGTTAATTTAAAAAACTAGCCCCTTTTATTTCCTAATTAACTCTATTTAGGTTCCTAACATTTCTATTTCATTTAATTGGGTCTTCCTAAGATTTCAAATTCTAATAATACCCCAAAAAATGGTATGGGTATTACAGTTTTACCCTCTTAAAAAAAACATAAGAACGATAGCTAATCTTGTGTCTCAAATAGGTGCAGATATCTCGCATGCATTGCCTCTTCTAATTCTCATGTTGTTTCTTCCTTTGAGTGATGTCACCATATTACTTTTACAAACACTATCTCCTTAGATCTTAATTTTCTTAATTATGTTGATTGATGATAGCCATGGGGTTTTCTTCATAAGATAAGTTTGAACCTAACTGTACATGCTACGGTGTCAATGCATGAGAGGATTTGGTAAGCACTCTTGTAACATGGACATGTGAAACATGAGATGTACTATATAAACTCAGGTGTAAGAGCTACCTAATAAACTATTGCGCTAACATGATCTAGAATCTTGAACGACCCAATATATCGTGGGTTAATCTTTCCTTTACTTTTGAGTCGCTCAACACTTTCTTAGATGCGACTTGTAGAAACATACGTTCCCTGACAGCGAACTTCAACTATCGTTTTCCGTTGATAAACTCTTGTCTGATTTGAGTGGCTAGCAACCTATGTCTGATTAATTGTAACTCATCTGCTAAGTCCTGTACTAAGTCTAAGTCTAGTAATTTAGCTTTTTCCTATCTCAAACCATCTTATCAAAGATTTACCACGTCCCCTATATAATACCTTGAAAGGTACTATTTGGATACTTGTGTGGTAGCTGCCGTTATAAGCCATTCTATAAGCGACAAGTATTGACTCCAGTTACCCTTACAGTCCATA